AGACAGTCCTTTCCGAATTCATATGTATCCAATCCACGATAGGTCCAACTTGGTAGAACTGACGAAGCAAGACGGAAATGCTGACGAACATAGGTGTCGAGCAAAACCTAAGACGAAATTTCTTCCTAAATTTCGAAGTACATAAACCAAGCAATCCTACCTCATCCACAACCTGCTCATTTTCCTCTTCATGGACTGAACAAGTGGAGTACACGGCGCGTTGCAAATTCGGAAACTTCAATGCATGTTTCAGCAACATAGCCTGGTAAAAGGAAGTTCACGAATAAGAGTAGGAATGTCTACAGATAGTTGGTAAATGATATTACCTGCAAATTTCTCAGCTTTTCCAGACGTCCCTTTTCAGCATTACCACCCGTCAGCTCATCTAAACGCTTTACCATTCCTGATCCAGAGCAAGGAGGGTCGACAATGGCGTATTTTACCTGCACAGAAAGTAGCCTTAGAAAACATCCTAAGCCGAAAAGAATTCCCGCACATATGTTTTACAAGTATGGAAACATGCTGGGCTCACTGAAGTTGACATTCAATAAAAAGACATAGAGCGAGACGAGACATCCTTACCTTGGAAAACTTTTTATCGCTGACATCGGTTTTCAAGAAATCGCCATGAAACACTGAAGCATTCTCAACACCGCATTCTCCTAGAATCTGGTTCATGACCTCCACACGCTCTTCTGAACGGTCCATTGCCCATACTTTCCTGAAAAATTTTGAGGCGATAAAGAATAGATTCAATGCGTCATCATCTGCTACCCACCCAGTTCCTTGCAAGATTGCAGCCACATGCGATGTTTTCATACCTGGTGCAGCACATGTATCAAAAACATGTGAGTTGGGTGGTGGAGATAACAAGAATGCAGGTAAGCAAGATGCCTAAATTTCAGCTCTGTTGACACAAAAATTACAAAATAACGCTGGCTTACCTTATCCTGTAAAATGATATAGCGTTGCTCTACCATCCAGTATCGATGAAATTCATTAGAATGAGGAAATATCAGCAAATTCTCAACATCTGGGTCTATAAGAACCTGAACCAGTCAATCAAGCTTATAATCATGGTTATCAGTAACGACACCAATTAAACAAAT